TTTATACTTGTGCCCAGCATTACTCTGTCTTAAGTGCAGAATCCGGCATTTGGACCTTTGTTAAATTTCATCCTATCAATCATAGCCCAATGCTCCAATCTCTCCAGATCCCTCTGCAAGGCTTCTTGTCTCTCAAGAGAGTCAACAGCAGCTCCCAGTTTGGTATCATCAACAAACTTGCTAATGGTGCATTCAACTCCATTTGGTTAACTCAGGGATGACAAAGGGCAAAACCAAGGACTGTTTCTTCAGAATCTGCCCCAAGATACTAATCTCCAAAAAGCAAAGACAAAACACTGTTGGCAACATCATGGTAAGCCATGACAGGCTACATTGGCTTCCAGTTCTGGTAGATGATTGTTACCATGGGAATTATATTGGTACAAGGAGATGAACACAGAGAAGTCTTCATTGGGAACAAAAAACACATGACTGACAGTTTATGACCTCTACCTTCATCACCTAGGTAACATCCACGATTGTCCCTATTACTCAAGTCCTTTCATGTTGCGCTTTCTCAGTGTGCCTGTTTCATCTGAATCACTGGCTTTTTGCTTTTTCAGTGCTGCGTTTTCATTTTCAGACTCCACAGACAGGTCCTCTTGGGTCGACTCTTCTGCTTCACTGCAGCTCTCAGAGTAGAATCCAGCATTCTCTGCTATGACAGCAGGATCATCATCCTCATAACAACAGCAGCACTCCTCAATGTTTTGGTTGTGATGAACGTCCCTCTCCTCTTCACTGATGCCAGTTACCTTGTCCTCTTGCTGCATTACATCATGACTGCCCCTTCCCATGGTGAGATCAGTTAGCAGGGTTTCATTGCACAGATGCTCCTCATCTTCCATGCCCTCCATTCTTTCTGCCAGCTCTTCTGCAGAGGGCTGGCTCAGATCAGGGTAATCGACAAGGATTGTGTCTTGTTTGCGCTTGAAGCAATCAGAATTATCATAGACAGGATAGGTCTCTTCTGGGTAACCTTAGGAATAAAGTGATATGCAACTTGAAGTGTTACCAGCATTTAAAAGTAGTATTGACTTCAGTGATGGATGCACAAATTTGTTATAACAGTTGCTTTTAGCACTGTCAGTATGTGTGTCATCTATTTCATGCCATGTATACACCACAGTATTAAATCCGTGGCAAGAATGTGCAAAACATGACTTCTTGGGAGATGATGAGAAAACTCCACCTATTTTTTAGGGAGCCAGGATATCAATGCTGACTTTCAGGAGTGAATATCTGAGATTTGCTGAATGCTATGGAAGCTAACAAGTGAAAATTGCAGGTCTTTGATCTTTAAATATATCCATTTTTTTTGTTGGCTTCTGTCTACAGATTGACTGATTCATGTTTTGAAGACTTCTGCTATAAACAGCATTATTTATAAAGTTGAAAAAACAGATATGATGTCAATGACTTTGTGCATTTCATTTTAGAAAATGCATCATGAACTTGACTTCAGAAAACAGAGCTTGAGGCCACTGTTTATGCTTTATGTTTTGGATCATTTTTGAAAGCTGCTTAAAGAGCAAGGAATTAAGTCTGCATTTAAAATTATGATAGTGCACAGCTCAACTAGGATATCTTGAAAACCCATTTATGTAAAAAGTAAACACCAAGGAATGGAAAGGACATTAAAATAAAGAATTTTTAAAAACCAGACTTCCTGGAGTTGACTTTTACAATACTGGAGCAAACAAAGAATGACTAATCAAAAGTAAAAACTGTTAAGTTATGCAAAACATACTGATTCTGATTTCCAAGGGTTTTATGATTTTGCATGAAATCTAGCCCAGCAAAGAAAGGGAAAGCTATAAAGCTAGAGCAGCCAAGACCCAGCAGCAGATGGAGCCTATGTGAATATTCATATGCCGCTTTTGGCAGCAGTGTAGTGTTTACACTAAAGAAAATGCTGGATGCCTCAAAATATATTTTCTTTCTATTATGGTTGGGAAAACAAGCCACCTCTTGCAAAGTTTTGAAAACTGACTTCTAAAAAGGAAGGATTAAAAAGTTAACAAAAAATTGCGAAAGGATCTGGGACTATAGGTAACCCTTATTCAACTTTTCTCATCAGGGTAATAGTAAGAAAGGCTCTTGCTTACCTTCCCAGTCCTCCATGTAGGGAGCTTCTTCAGCTTCCTTCTCAGGAGAGATGCCATCTATGAATTTTCCTTCTTTCATAACTCTAGTAATTTCTCGGAGTTGCTGAAGTAACCTTTTTTCCTGTTCTGTTGTAACATTTTGGGTCCTGCTAGAAAATATTAGATGGCAGAATTCAGTCCACTATTATTACAAACTATTAACAGAGTTTGAACTCAACTCTTTGGTCCGGCCCAGCAGCACAATCTGAAGAAACCTGGCTGCAGTATGATCGCTATTCAACATCTGCATGTGGTCTGCACTTCAGCTCGGTACAAAGGTTTATCCAGAAAGCCTGCAAACTTAAACAGGTAAAGGCAGGCAGGTACAGCCAATATGTGAGAGCAAAATGGAAGTGACACACAAGCGAGAGCTATGGTACAAAAGACACTACAGAATTTCTGGCCTTTAAAAGAGTGTTAGGTGAGAATTAGAGGGCCACACCTTGTTTGAAGCATTATAAATAAATGTAATTCAGAACCTATGCTACATTTAAAACAACTTGTGCAGGCTGATCAAAATGTCTCATACAGACAGACATTACTCTCAAGAGTCTAACGATCCCCAATTATGACCATTAACGGTATTAAATTTGCAAGGCGTCATTAAGAAATACCCATTGGACAGATCATCATGTTATTATACAGAGTCAACAATGCTGCCAGCGGGGAGGTGGGGGGAGAAGCTGGTAGGAAGATTTAAAAATGAAAAGAAGGTGTTACATTTAACTTGAACTTGCCCTTTAGAGTCAGGAGGAGAGTGGGAGAGGACTGAGATTTTTATCAGATTAAAAGCAAACTATAATTTTGACTGGTTCTACACTGCTGATTCTAGTAATTACTACTGCTCAGGCAATACAATTACTTATTGTTGTAACAAAAATGCTTCCAACAGATAAAATCATGTAGTCATTAGATGTTATTTTCTCTGGAAAAAAAATAGTCTCCTAAAAATCCCTTTTTGTGGGCAAAAAAGAATTATTTGGAGGGTGGTGATCTGAGCTCTACTGTCAGTCAGTAGGGCAGAATAAAAAAGACATCGGTTGTACTTAGGGGTGAAAACGGTTCTGATTGTTGTGCTTGTTTCGTCTTGAGATTCAAGTTGTTCTTGAGCAGGTGTCTGACCTCTGTGTAAGTGCCAGCTCAAGCCTCTCAGGGGACCGAGGCACTACTCCGGTGCTCTTTTGACTGGCTGTGTTTTAGGCAGGCCCTATTGCCCCTGGTTTGGCCCTCGGCACATGCAGAATGCTGACCTGCAGGCAGTACGGGAGGTCAGACGGATGATCTCTGGTGATCTCCAGACCATCAGACAGATAATCTCCAAGATTAGACAGCTGCTCAGTGAATTTTAGGGTTTAGCTGGAAAGAGGGGAGTTGGAAACAGATTAATGATCTGGGATTTAGGTGATTACTATCTACCTAAACCTTGTTTCAGGTACCTGAATTCTCATAAAATTGAAAAATGGCAGTGTCCACCATCTTCAGTTTTTCCTCTTACTAACTGTCATGACTAAAGCAGCACATCAACAGGTACTTTGTGCTGCTCCACGTACATGGGACTGATAGTAACACAATAGTTACTGCACTAACGGCAGCAGAGTCATACTGGTTTAAAGCCATCATACTGCTGGTTTGTGCGGTGGTGATCAACGTGCTGACCCTGGGCTAGAATTTGTGCACAGCTGCACGCACCGTTGTCTGTAACTGACCTTAGCCGAGGAGCAGGCCCACTGGTTTCAGCAGCAGCTACCCAGATTAAACTGTCTGACCGAGTACACAAGGCTGAACATCGCTTCCCCCGAGGGCACTTTGCCCCCCAGCTGGAAAAGCTGATCGGGCCCCAACGCGGTAGGGAGGTTGCTCTGAGCCCCCCAGGCTGCGGTGGCAGTTTGTGCCACAGAACAAGCGAGGGGGTGAGACAGTGTCTTCTCAAAAGCCTGGGTTATGCAGATGTAGAATTTGAGATGTGAATTATGAGGCACACAAAAAGAAATGGTTTCATCAGCTAGCTGCCTTTGACAGAAGCTGTAATAGAACTGCCAAACTAATCCTCCTTTTATAGACAAAAGTGTATGTAATTTGAATATATATCACCTGGATGAAGACAGAGAGGCCTAGCTGTTGAGCACAATGGGGAGATATGCTAGCTTATCTAATAGGAGCAATCAATGTAGCTGCATCACTGCGGCATTTCATACAGGAAAATTCCTGATATGCTGGATACTCTCATTAGAAAGCTCTGTCTTATTGCAACACAAGGTTCTCTGTATTTCAGAGTATTCCTCCTCCAAATACCTTGCTTAAAAGACAGATTTCCCTGTAGAGAGGGAGGAACCAAAGCCCATGCACTATTTCTACTTCATTTAAGGCCTGTAGGAAGACTAACTGTAGGATGCTGGCAATGTGTAAGACATCTGGCTGCCTGCGTATGGGAGATTTACCAGGGTATAATGCACTTATGAATACTGAGAGGAGAACAAATGCAAAAGTGTAAGAAAAGGTCATTATTTTTGCTCTGTGTGTTTGCAGCTCCAACATAGCTATTGCTTTTCATAGTGGCAATGCTTACATTTTGTAGAGTCCCAAAGTGCTCACTAACAGGTAAAGGTTTCTTATTCCTACACTGAAAACACATTTCCTAAAGTGCTATCATGACTGCCGTGAAAATCCATAATCTAACACAGTATCTCAGACATGTCAACCAGTATTTTTTAGCTTAATGATCTTAAAATAATCACTACTAAAATGCAGCTGTAGCCTAAAAATGGCACCCCGCAGAGTACAGCCTCTCTCTCTTGCTCTTCCTTATCACATTTGCTCGGTTTATGGTAAAAAGGTAAGTTTTTCCAATTGACAGCCTGGTAAACACGACTTTCAAAACAGGTAAGTGAGCTGCATTATTTCTCCCTCTTACCTAATTACCAGAAATTGAGATTTTTTTTTTTATAAGAGAGTATTGTACAATAATCCCATTAAGAAAAATATTTACAAGTATTCTCCAATTTAAAGTGGTTTCAAAATATCAAATTTTACAGACAGTGGTGAAAAGAATACGTGTAAGAAAGTAATCTGTAAGAATGGGTACGGAAGTCTTTTGTACCCATTCTATCACTGTCCCAACATTGAAACACTTTGCTAAAAGCCTGGAAAAAAGCAATATGCATGCTTTTGATGCAGAGAGCCCTATATAAGCATCCATCAGGTCTTTATTTCTGAATTATCAAACTCCCAGCAAGGTTCCTCATCTCTGCTGAGAGATACTGGACTATAAAGGTCTACATTTAGAAACTTGAGATACTGAGGTCCCCTTAGTGATAGGATGTGATGATAAATTACAAAACTGAGTATTTAAATTTATAATCTGTTGAAAAAAGAGCTGGGAAGAGTGCTAGATTTTCTCAGAGCTGTGAATCATTATATCCTTAGGTACCATGTACTACCCATTTAAGTGAGTGCATTAGGTAACAATTACCTCTGTCTGTCCCTTAGTTTAGGTTTGGTTATGTTGCTGAGAACCTGGTCAGGCAGTGCTTTCTTCCTCTTGCTTTCTTTACCTTGCTTCTAGTTCTTGCTAATACATGCTAGGCCTTTTACTGGTACTAGTAAAACTTGCACTTTTTGAAAGATTTGCATTTCTGCAAGGGGGTTTCTGTACTTTAGGCTGTAGCAATTCCAAATGGTATGCTGGTTTGGAAGGAGGTCTCCTTGGTTGGTTTGGAGGTTGGTCTTCAAGCCTCATTAAAAAAACAGCAAACCCAAGTTTCTGTCTGCCTACCTTCTACAACACAGGGCTGGATAATACTAGCTATCCCATCTGAGAAAAGCAGCTAATAGTATTGAGAGGTCTCCCAGCCTCACTTCGCTGAAATGCTTTTGAAAGAAAAAGAATGAGCATGACAAGCCACAGCAAGAAAACAACACATACACTTGCTACAGAAGAAAGCAGAATAAAATCACACAGCACAGTATACATTATTCCTTTGCAACAGGATTTCTTTCTATGGTACAGCATTATCTGCGAATAAACTGTCCTTCCAAACTCACCTGTATTTCAAAAGCAATGTTCTTTTGAAGAAAATATACAAAATTAGAAAGTCTTTGGATTCTATGAATCTCCACCAGAAGGAGAAAGCCAGGATGAATCCTGGAGCAGTTCAGCTGGGAGGAGAACACTCCTGAAGTACGGTGAGAAGACGCTGAGGCACGAGCTCAGACCTCAGCACTATTACAAACACTGTGTGTTATGGTGATACATCGGGTTTTTTGTGAGAATGCAAAATATGTCCTTTGGTTTGGTTACTAATACTTCACTTGGCGGGCTGGGAGTCGCTTTGCCATATCCAGTATAATGGGCCATGGTCTCACCTGGGGTCTTTCAGCATTGGTTTAAATTTGATACCAGTTATTTCTTTCTCTGACTTCTCTGTTGTAAGGATTTCTGTTTAACTGCATATTAATAAACGGAGCTCAAGTCATTTTTGCACTCTTCCTCTTCCCTTTTTATTTAAATCTAGCAACATCCAGATTGAGTAAGCCTAGCACTGTGCTCCGTGCTCTAATTACACTTTCTAACCATACATTTTATTTTAAGGCATTCATCCAGTATTATTGAACTTAATGAGAATCACAGTGTAGATTAAGAAAGCTTCAAAGTCTGGGCGTACTTGAAAAACAGCTATATTTGCTCCATTTAGAGGGCTTTTCCCCTTCTCTTTAAAGAGGCTACATACAAAATTCTTTATTAAATTCAGATTCTGATTTCCCCCGAGGCCTTTAGATCCATCTATATAAATAGTTTGGTTGAACAAAGAAGGGAAGTTCTACTAAATAGAGGCTCTGAGCCAGTAACACAGAGTGGAACAAATACTGGATCAGACCCTAAACCCATTTTCTCAGTAAAAAAAATATCCTATCTTGAAAGTCAACACAGCATCTGGGCAGCTCATAAGCCTATTTCTGGCAGTTTAAAGCTATGCATAGAGCATTGCATTAGCTCTCCAAAACAGAGATGAGTAATAATCAAAATAGTATCCTTCCATTTTGCTAACAAAACCAGAGCAGCTTAGGGCTTCTCCCGCTGGAACCCGGCCTAACCCAGGCAAGCCTGGCACCTCGCCTTGCTGAGGTGAGTGCAGCTGCAATACAGGGCACGGTGCAACGTGGGCAAAACTACCAAAGAGAATGCGGTTCAAAGCATAAATGAACCTAATGTGCAAGTTCAGCTCAGAGTTGTTCCTACAGAATGGGTTAAAACAGGCATTGACTGATCCGGACAGTTAACATGCGTTACAACCTGAACAGCTATCTTTTCGCTTGCAAACATCACCTTAATATTCATGGTATTTAAATATTCAAATACTGCAGTTATGCATTGTCCCATTGATGTGGTGTTACACTCCTTATGAAAAACACAGACTTCTTTCTGGTGTTTCTTTATAATGTAGAATAGTGATCTCAGATTTATAGTAAACATTAATAAATATAATAATTTTTTAAATTCTGATTTTACAACTCTCTTTTTTTCCTTTATATTTAGAAGCAAATGCATGGATTTACTGGTTACAGGGTGAAACTAAGTTATAGAATCAGATTATTATATAATTCTGCCCTTAAAGAAATCTTTTATGGATATTCTAAAAGGCATTTACGTAGATTACAACAGCATTTCTATTTAGAAAAATAATCCATACAACTGGAAAATAACATAAAACAAATGGGTCTCTTAGGAATCAGTATTACTTTGGCCACATAAGATAGGTTGGTTTATATACTTTAAATGTAGAGGTTTTATTTTCTGTTTGCACATACCTGTCCTTATCTTCCAAATAACATACTGTACAAAGGGGGAGGGTAGGGACTGTTGCTTTTCTGTTCAAGGAAAATTAAGTTGGAAAAATTATTTAGTTTAAATACAGATGCTGAAAAGAGACCTGCAGAACAAAAACTGTGATGTGTAAAATCAAATTTCTACAGTTTGAAGTAGTAACAAACATGCTATTTTAATATAGGTAATGTAAGAAAGCTTAATTTCTAATCAGAGCAGAATCTCTCCTTAAAATGCTGTAATTTGAAATATACCTGTCACAGTTTGGTCCTACTCTGTTGATTAATTTTTCCATAGCTGCTTCTGTCTCTCTCAGTTTTTCCTGGAGTTGAGTGAGCTCATAGTCAGCTGTAAAACAAACAAAATCCCAAGACTTGTCAGTAGGAACTTGGAAAATGTATCCCTGTCCCATTATCACAGGTGGCAGATGCTGTACCAAACCAAACTGGCTGTGAGGAAACTAAAACATGCAGCCTAAAGAGTTCTACCTACTTTTCCTGGTATAAGAAGGTGAAGACTATTGCAATGGTAATGGGACACACAGAAAGCACCTTCTTTCAAAGGTTCCCAAGCAACTCTCAATAAGCAGAGTGAGTGGGCCACTGTAAATGCTCTGGAGATTAAAGTTAGGCAAAATACCTTTTGGTTTTTTTTCCTAAGGAAACCATAGTGTTTTACTGCCTACCACAGAATTAATAGCTCTCATGGAATTTCCCTGTTAAGTCCTTGGGAACAGAGACAAAAAAGTCACTTGAGTATTTTCTCATGAGTCTAAGGTTTGAGAAACCACATCTTTACCAAAAAGAGAATAAAGTTCATGGGCTTTATGGCATCCAACCCTGCAGAAGTGTGCCAGGGTAGCCAGTGACTGCTACCGGTTTGCCAGACTTACCGGGATGAACAACAGCTAGACACATGGTGTCTGTCTGCGGAGCAAAGCACACTATTTCCATGCTTGCATTTTTTTCAAAAAATGTGTCCATAGTACAATAGTAGACACACATGCATACATGCAGGAACAGCCATACTGACTTTAATTTACCCAAAAGCATTAACAGTAAAGATGCAATAGCATGGACATCAACAAAAATGCTTGAGCTGCTTGTTTGGCTTTTGCAGCTCACGCTCAAAATCCTATAGCTGAGACTTCGTTGCTCCCCACCACAGAACAAAATGAAACCAGGCTGGGTTAGTTAAATAATCAGCTGCTACAGGCACATCCATTTTACAAAGGCACGCTGGAACTCCGACATAGCATGGTAGGAATGGAGAAAGCCATCCACAAACATCCTGCTTTTAGAAAGATCTCTGTTCTGCAGAGAATGTCATTACTTAATGTATCACTGATGTAATTATTTTGCATGTCTGAGACTTTAAAAAATAGGGGAAGGGAAATTGGCAAAGAGAAAGGCAGTTACTCCCTCCAAGTCACTATGTAAGGCTCCTAGTCCAGTGACTTGTCCCCTGCTCTGCTACAGCTTACCACGAATGTTTTAGGAATACAAATGAAGAGCTCCAGAAAAACAGCAGGGTAATTTTCATCACTAGTTCTTTGGGTTATAATGACGGTAAACATTTCACTTACTGCAAAGTTAGTTTCTCTTACTAAGCATTAGAGAAAAAAATACAATTACTGTTGCTAATAAATTGCATAAAATTGCCATGCACAATGTGGTACAAGTGCACTGAAAATACAATCTATAGCACTGAATACATTAGGTATTCCTAATATACACATTAATGTCAAGATAATTACAGCTATGTTAAGAGAATTACTTTACTGCTAGCACTTTCTATAAAGCCCTAAGTACTTTTCTTTCCTATTACAATTTGGTCAGCTAAACACAACGTATTTAAATAATGTTATGGTAACTACTCATCCAATCCTCAATAGTAAGCTTATTAATTTATCTAATAAATAGCTACAAATAGTTGAATCTATCCCACCGATGTTTAGGTAAAATCAAAATACCATTTCAGAATACTATTTGCTTGTTTTATTGCACTCATGAAAACTCTGAGCATTGCAAAAAAGGGAAGGGAAAAAGTACGGAAGTGCCTGGTGATGGCTAAGAATTCACAAATTCAAAAAAATGAAGTTAGCTTTTAATAATATCTTTATGTACTATCACTAGAATATTACAGAACATAGAATAATTACAGATGGACATCCTATTATACATTTTTAATAATTAGCTACATAGCTTTTCAGCAAATCCGTACAGTTGACTCAGTGAACCTCATGAAAAGCCATTGCATCCAGGGGGGCTTGGGATCAGGCTACTATGGCAGAGTCTCATTAGCTGAATGAGATTAGAAAGTGAGGACGGTGCAGTAATTCACTTTTTAACTCTTGCTCATTCCAACACAGAAGCTTCTGGCTTGTTCTTTCCCAGGGGGAAACAGCAGCTTTACATCGTGCCCCAGACTTGAAGAACCCAGTTGGCCCGTGCCTCTACAGAGTCAACAGCTACACAGACACAACTCAGAAGCCATACTCACTGATTTTCCTCTTCATGTTTCCAGGCGCAGCAGTAGGGCATTTCCGCTCTCCAGCGGTAGCTTTTCCCTTGGAAGCCAGCTGATGAGTGAAAAAAAGACCACCCTTTTATGAGTTACCGCAACAGTAACATATAAGCCCCAAAGGCAATAGAAAAAAGGATAGAAAACTAAAATGTGCCAGAAAGTAACGAGAGAAAAGCATGCTCAGCAGCAAAAACAGACAACCATGAAAGATGCCTGGGAGATCCTGCCAGCTGAAAACTCCTGAAAGACACTTGGAACAAATGATATTTTTAAACATAGTGAAAGCATAACTCATCAAAAATAACGTCTTCATTTTAGAATATTTATCTGTTCTATTCTTCTGTGTATAGGAGGGAAAAAACCGCATTGGGCAATTATTGTGAAACAAAGGACAGGTTCTGAAGAAATTGTATGTGACCTCGCTTGTCCCTCTTGCAATGCTTTTGGCCATTATTCCTTACCAACTTTATACCTGCAGCAAAGATACTGGCTGGCTCTATATAGAGGCTGCAGGCTATCTATTTCCTTTGTCTTCTCTGTGTTTGATCAGTTCACCCAATTTACTTCGTTCTTGCCCCTGTCTGTCCAGACCAAGCTTAACTGTTTGGATTCAGCCCCTACTCAAAGGAAAAAAACATTTCCACAAGTCCACTTCTCCCTCCTCCCACACAGCTGACTGTCATCACCTACATGCAAGTCATGTCTGTAACGAAAAGCTATGAGAAGTTCAAATCACTTGTGAAACACTTGAGGGGAATTATGGGCTATGCTTTTTTAAACTAGCTTTCAACCAGTTCCTAGCAGCTGGGGTAATTCCAGCATGGTCAATACAACCTTACAAACTCCCATTCTCCAACAACATGGTGCTTTTGTTCCAGAAGCTATGCAGCAACTGTACTCCCTCTCTCCCACTTGAAATGCATAGCACAGTATGTGACATATACAGTATATATAATATGTAGTCACCTGTAATAGAAAACAATACTATGTGTATATTCAAAATTAATGTAACATTGTTCTAGACATACATATTTTCTATGGGGGAAAAAAAAATCCTTAAGAAAATTGTAAGAGGTCAGAGGCCAATACAGGATCACAGCAACCTGTCCTTGCATTCTTAGCTACAGCCTTTGCAATAGTAAAAACCACAGGATACACCAATCTTTCAACCACCAGTCAAAGGTCCAGCATAAGCATTTGTTTTGGAGCAAGGCTGAAATGGAACCAGGTACAGAAATGGGACTATTGTTTCTGTTTTGAGAGTGTTTTTTCGTTGTTATTTCCCTGACTTTTCAATTAATGTTGGTCTTACCTTAAATAAAATGTACAGGATATATAAGAAGATGCCAAATCCATATATAGGGATAATCTGCCCCACAAGACCTCTCCCAGTTCCACCAGTGCTTCCACCACCACCTCCACCTGCCTTGGCTTTGGCAACTGCTTCAGCAAGGTGGGACCTTGGAAAATGAGGGGCAGTTCGGCTGTCGGGAGTGGCCTGGTAATGCATCCTTGGTGGAAAGCGACCAAGCTTCCCTGCAAAAAAACACACAACAATTATTTTTCTTCTATTACTTTCCACCCTTTTACATGCAGCTCAAAACTGCAGCAGGTGCGGCTGACCTATTTTTTCTACTTTTAAATGCACCACCACTGATGAATAAAGTAACTTCTTGGGCTCCAAGTACTAAGTCTGTAAACTCAATCCTCAGTCACTTACTATATGCAGTGCTAGGAGTTAGGTATGAACAATTACTCTCCTGATTTTAAGAACAGAAAAAGCTGGCAGGGCAATTAACAAAACACAGATTTTAACAGGTATATACTTGTCCAAAGACCCTATGAATCAGCATCCCTAACAGGATGAAAACCCGAACTCTAACTTCTGGTTCTCTGCTCAAAAAAGCCCAACAACGTATCAGTTTTCTGCTGTGAGCCTGATCTTCCAATGTGATGCAAAGGCATGTTAATGTACAAACCACTACCCATCTAACATCCTGATACATGACTGCAGTGTTTGCCCAGTATAGATTTTTGGTTATTGCCATGACAAATAGTATTTTACCTGATTTTACCAAATGAGTAATGAAAGATAAAGAAAAGTGGTGGCATCTCAAATTGTTCTCCTCAAAAAAGGTGTTAGTTAAAACAATGTTAGAGAGGAGATTGAATATAGCTTGGGACATATTATCTTTGGCATTTTAGAGAGAAAATAATGATTTCCAGCCTTGAGAGAGGCAGAAACCATTTAAAACAAGAAAGGGGAGCGAGCATAAATGGATGCGTGGATGCTAGAGTAAGACTGCAAAGTGCCTGAAAAGCTGCCGCAGATGATTTCATTCAACTGAAAGGCACCAGAATCTCAATAAATCTAAGCTCACGCATTTTTCTGTTTTCTTGCTGCCATCAATTCAATAACTTTGCCATGAAATTCGCTATTTTACTCCTCCATGTACTTGACATCCTGGTTTCTATCTCCATATCCAGCCTGGACTTGCAGCTGCACTCCCCTCCACTGACTGGGACCAAGCTGAATTACTTGGCTACTTTGCCACCAAGCCTGGCGTCGGAGGCATTGGATGGGAGCGCCAGAGATGGGGTCTGCCCGGCCAGGCTGCAGCTCACCCACCCCTGACGCCAGCTGCAAAACTCCCCCTCCCTGGCACAGGCACCAGGAAAGCCAGGCAGCCTGGGCACTGCTCAGCGGTGCTGGGGCGGGCTGCAGGCACTCGCATAAAGAAAATGAAAAGCAGGTTTGAAATAGCACCAAAAATAACTAACTTTACTCCTGTGAGTACCCAGCTGCAAATATTTTTTATGAGAAGCAAGGCAAGAGAAAATTAGATTAAATGAACATTTGCTCTTGCTAGGAAACACCATTATAGGCAGCTAAATTCCTGAGCACAGAAAATTACAGTAAATAGGTATTAGGAAGTGATATCAATAATTCATTAAGTTCTACTATTAAAAACATGTTTTTCTTGTAGGTGATGGCATACATTCTTTGAGTGCTGTAGGCTTTAGTGAAACTGCCAGGTATGCCACCACTGACCAAAACCACTCTCAGATTAGCTCTGGCTTAACTTTGAGGAAGCTGTTATCATGCACTTTAATTTTAGTGAATTATTCAAAGTCTGTGATGGAAAGCATAGCATCTTATTTACAAGAGAGTCCCACTGCTCCTGCAGGAA